TGTTCATGGTAGTAGGCTTCATCGTAATGTAAGGTCGTGTTGATATCAGTGATGGAAGAGGGAATATGTGGAGACCCTCCAGTAGTGTTGGCTCCATCCGCGAGGGCATTCAGACAGTCGACAGAAGCGATGTAAGCTATTTGATTTACTTTCCATGCGCGTGCATCTAGCACCGTTTCCCTGTGAACCGTTCTAGTTTATCCGCTTCTCTCGGGACTCTCCTCCTCCATTCTCAACTTCACGTTCTTTACTCTCTCTATGGAAGGCAGGCTCATTCACAAATAGGCTATGAGAGGGGTACCAGTGATAATCGTACCACAAGCAGATTACAATAGTTCTGAGACCCATTATTAGTCCGATGTCAATTATGTACGAAATTTCTCTCACATATGGGTGGGGACATGGCCCTTGCTGACATCTTCATTTAAGAACATGTAAACGATGTTTGAATGTATCTCCGTATCAGGCGGTGAGTCTACGAAAAACAGAATGGTAGATCTAACACCAATTACTTAGCTAGGAGCAGTCATGGTCACGGTTCGACTCCGTCTGTTGCCATGGTATAGGCACGTCATCCTGTATTTTTCTCTGATCAAGTAGGCATCTCAGGTTACTGGGTACTGTGTTGCAACACTTCAAAGTAGAATCCGAATGGTGTTGGTACCGGCATAATGTCCCAATAACGAAATCCCTGACATGCAAGCCATATGCTGGTAAAGGCCACAGTAAAAGATTCAGACACCTGTCACTCTAATACACGGGGGGTATGTCAGCCCTGTTTTGAAGAGGATGACTCTACGGTTGAAAAAGGAGTCAAGGAAGAGCTTGAGAACCTTGTAAATCTGGATTTTGTGAACGATAAACCCTTGCCTTTCTATTAGTTTCTCTTAAATATTTAATATTCGCATTTCAGTCTTTTATCACTAAAATTGATATTGAGGTAGATAGAGTCATATTATAATGGTTGTCGTGGAGGAGCCAAGGAAATCACTGATGGTATGACATTGAAACAGTTTCTGCACTGGATATTGTCGTCGTTTGTATAACACGGTTATCAGAAACTGTGGTGCTGCTTTGGTCCCAAAAGATGAATATATAATGGCATCATTAGTTTGTGGTTCTTTTTAAAAGTGCCATCATTAGTTTGTGGTTCTTTTTAAAAGTGCCATCTTTGAGTCACGGATCCTCTGATATGGTAACGGCTTCAGCAAACGATATAGGGTGAACCACACGAAATTACATCGGCATGAAGCATCGTGTTGAAAAACATAACTGCTCCCATGTTCAGGTATCTTAGTGCATACATAAAATTTTGCATGTCCTCCAACTTTTGTCTTGAAATTTTGAGTTCGTGTCATACATGCCGACAGGGAGTGACAAGTGGTTGGCTCCTTCCACGCTGAGCCATTCTTGTCCTTCTTCACTCATGAATTCTATGAAAAAAAGAAGAGTGATTAATTTATTTGTTTTCTCTTCAAAATCGGAGTGTGTTCTTATTTAGATGCCTTAAAGAGGACAGGCAAGATAGGGCGATAATGTGTGATAATGTGCATGCGATTTTCAACCTGATATCATGTACTACAATTCGCGGGACAATGCATTATTCATACTCAATGAACAGCTCTCGAAAATTCTGAACACCTGGAATGAGCAAGGGAGCAGAGTCGCTGATGTCATACAGAACAGCTGCATATTCCTGGACTCCTGAACAATCCTGCCTACCCGACGGCTTTTGGCACACAAAACCCTGGTAGGCAATATTTCTCGTTTGCAGACAGCAACGTTCTTGATACACACATCCGTCCTCATCTACCAATCTCAATATAGCTGGGAACCAGGTACACCTCAATCTATAACATTGATGGTGTTGTTATGCTATCTGTTCTAGGAAACATACTTTCCATGTATCTATGGTCGTATTGAAGGCCGCTCGACAATGTACGATTCAATATGACCTATTGTACGTGACTACGGCTAATGACAAGACCGGGCCCAGATACGGACTGACAGAGAGAGAGGGATGTCAGCCCATACTCGTAATGTTTACTGTTGGATTTCCGCCACAATACAGGTATGCAATATACGTGTGTTGGATGCCTGGATGCAGAGGAACATGTCCTCAGTAGGATGGTATGTGGCCTCTAAAGATGTGTGGATACTGGTGAAGTGGCTGCAGGAGCGAGTGGGGAAATAATCGTGATTGACTCTCGACAATGATAATGATACAAGGCGTTCGGATGTTGTACATTAACAAGAAGCTTCCAGTAGCCTTAATGCGAACTTGAACAAGATCGCCTTTCCCTAGAACGAAGCGATGCTTAACCCAAACCGGCGAGTTGTAAGTCAGATACCAGAATTGCCAATAGCAACAACGCACCACGAGATCACATTGAGGTGAGTTGGGCCCGTCGAAGTGATAACTCTCTATCACTAGAGATTAGATTAGCCTGTAGATCTGGATAGCACAGAAACCCACTTTGTAGCTTTTTCATGGAGAAAGAGGAATAGGTTGACATGATCATTTAAGTGGGACGAGAGAAGGATTTGTTGATTGCGTCTGGGAGAGCACTCAGAGAGTCGACAGAAGTGACAAAGGCACCTCCTTGAACAGAGAATAGTCAGACAATTGATGTAAAGGAAATGTGCACTGCTGCCACATACCATTGCCTCAACCAGGAGATATACCAGTGTCAAAACGTGAGGAATATCGGCCTCCATGAGTGATATTAGGGGTCGTGACAAACAATCATTCTTTTACACTCTTTGTGCGAGGAAGCCCTTCCTGAAATATGCTATGGGAGATACGCCAGTGATAATTGTAGTACCACGGGTGGATTACAATCGTGATGTGATTGCTCTAAGATCCATTATCACTCCGACTCTTGCTGACATCAAACCGGTAAAAGGGCCGGCTTGGCTTTTTTTTCATACTCTCACATGGATTCTTGGCTTCGTACGGTCCTTCTTTGTGGGCTTGATAGTCCTTCTATCCCTTTCCTGTATACGAATGGAATGTCATGACCTCATACTAATCAATATATCGTGCTGGTCAAGGAGGCTATTATGTTCCGGAGGTGAGACGAATGAGATGAGAACTGGGGATCGGCCAACTTCTCAGACCCTTTCCCAATCCACCTCCGTACATCTTCATCTCCTCTCCTTCTGTGCAATCCCCTCTTCTGCTGGGATGACCCATACATGAACTTGGCTCATGATGTTTTGGTGGCAGCTGCAAAGCCCTTGTACCGTAGAAGCTTCACCGATCGAAGACTTGCAAGCGACGCCGGCGGAGGGCTACAAACCGTGGAGAAAGTGGAGAAAGCTTGATGTGTACTGATTATCGATTATGTTTGGATGTCTGTCTTCGCATTCTGAAGATTCGCTGACGAGATTCATATCCTCTATATAGCATATCAATGTCCCCTGCACCTTCAATGCCCTCAATGATGTAGTATGTGTTCAGAAATCTCTAGATAGGTCAGCATTCTGACAGCATCGATAACTTGACTTGGGGGAACGTTGCAGACGGAATATGTTCAAAGAAAATGTCATGTACTAAGGAGCATCTTGTGACTGGTACGTGCTTTGCAGTGAAGCCGTTGTCTTTGGAGGCTCACTTCATTCAAGATATACATTGGAGCGATGTCGAGGCCGTCCTTGTTATAGTTGATGTCACCGGGGAACCGGGAATGGAGGGTCCAAATAATGCTAAAAGGTAAATCGTGTATTTCCTACCCATATAGCGATCGCCAACTACTCTTCCAGCTCAGGAATGTGAGCGTCATTACATCACATTCATACAATCTCGCCCGGACATTTCGGCGTAGCCTTCGCCACCGGTGCTAGCTAAGGTATCACAAATCTCGAATGCTGTCGCCGAGAATTGATAAGAGTAGGGGGAATGCGATTTGATTTTCTTCTGATTTCTTGGCAACTTTACAGTCTGAACTACGAGTCTCTCTATGAAACAGGGAAAAAGCTAGACCATACGTTCTGGGGCTGAAACATCGGGGCCTAATTGTGGCTTTATCAGTCAACATTGAGTTCGAGCCGGTGATTTATTGTGGCGAAACCATGTGAATCAATCTTCCTGGCCACATCCTCCTCCCCTCCCCTCCCTCCCCTTGATGATATATGAAAATGGCTTACCGAATAGCTCGTTGTTCCTCCGAGGTATTGGGGTCTTTTAAGCTAGAAGAGGTTTAATTTATAGCTGCTATTTGATGTCTAGCACATATAGACATAGCCTCGCTATACTCAGAGCATATCGGGGACTTGATACTTGAGTCTGTTCTCGTGGTGCCGCGAATTATCTTCCTGAAATGAATATCGAGTCTTCTCTATCAATCTTTTGTCACTCTCCTGTGTAATCGACTACATGTGTTCAACGCATTCACCATGTTGAAAGTAGCATTATGTACCTAAAGTTGATCTTGTACTCCGCTGAGGTCAAGGTTAACATCCTATTTGCAGTCCCAGTAATGCTCGCTGTCATCGTTGATCAGATGGCCGCCATGAACCTGAAAGAGAGAAGCGAGACTGGAAGAATGCTAAAGCATTCAATTCTCGTATTCTTCCACGAAGCAATGAAGTGAAGGCGCTGTGTGCACAGTGAAATCAGGTAAAGGTACGTTTGGTCCGGCCTTTGCCGAAGTGGCTTATTGTACTCCATCACAAATCTTTTAAGGGTATTGAGCTCTTCGCCATCACTTGTCAGATTTCCCTAGCTCTCCTCTATAGTTTTTTTTTCCACCCATTTCCAAATCCGAGTTGCATGTCATGGCTGACATTAACACTAAAGCTTTGCAGGAGCGAACTCAACAACATCTCAGGGATACTTGTATTTCTCTCGATCCATTTCAGCAAAGTTCATGACTCTGTTTGTTTTTTTCTTTGCGCTTCTCACACTGCTTCATGCACCTATCATATGCTCCCTTGTTCCTGAAATAAGCTTAGTTGAATAGCATTTCATCGTTACCTGCCAGACGTATCATGCAACCATGGCCCAGATTGGTCTTCTTATTACCAGGGTATCCCATCACTGGGTTAATGCGACATGTATCCCAACACGAAGAAAAATGCGTTCTGAAGTTTGTTAGAGCGCCGCTGAACTTCGAGGTACTAATTCGCATTATCAGGAAGCAACGTTACGATACCTGAAGAGACACATGTCAATTCCTGTACTGGACATGTCGGCGTACGATACGGACATCGATGGTGCAGTAGGCGGAGCATGGATGATAATGGAGCTTGTTCGTTTCCTCCACTGTTAACAACGATCGGTGTTAATAATGTCCTAGATCAACGGGGAGAACGCCAGCTCAATATGGGAATCCCTCAGCCATAAGCAGAAGTATAAACTATCTCTCGCTGTGGGAGATCAATACCAGAACATGCTGTCTCTACGGTTCAATGCAATTGGAAGCATAGATGCAAGCAAGAGATGCTTTTTTATCGGGCCCATGGTTACTACTGAGATTGGCCCCAATCCAGATACCATTCTGTATCCTAATAAATGCAGTCCCTTCATTAACACTGCACATTGGCCAGCTGCTACTGCAAGAGGAGACAGGCGATTCGCACTACCGCCATCATCCACATCCTATCGGCCTACCCACCAGAGCTACCTATGTTCGGTCAACTGATGAAATCAGCTGTTCAAGCGACCTCGCTATGGATAAAACCCTGATCACTTTAGATCACCCGGATTTCTCGATACATAACATCATCGTTCGCTCAGACGATCCGACAGTAACCACTGGCATCATCGACTGGGAAGGAGCACATATCGTTCCTATATGGGCTACGAACCCTACTTTTATGTGGCCGATATTTGCACCTCCTGAGGAGCAGGATCATTTTTAAGTGATTCTTCGGGATCATATCATGGCACAGACGCCAGAGTGGTACTGTGCGCTTGGGGAAGATACATTGCCGATGAGGTTGTTGGAGCAGCGAGCACGGCTTAACACGGGGAGTTAGGATAGTTTCAATTTCTCGCTACTTCCACATCATTTTCTCAGTGCGAAGACTGTGGCTCATGGTGGTGTCGTTTACTTGTAGTGGTAGTGTTCATTCATCTATGTTTCATGATTCTATAGACCACATGTGGTGGTACTTGTGAGTTGTGTATCAGATGAGGTTTTATTATAGGTATCTTCATTTTCTACGTATTCTGTCAATTCCTAGGTCAGAATGGATTAGCGGCATCTTGAGTATGTCTACGGTTCGATTCCGTAGGCTGATATGGATATTGGGTGTAGATTTTGGTTCTTTGTAGAAACTGGAAACTCGGGGGCACGTAGAATTTTGTGTTTTTCTTTGTGAGCGTGCGTTCGCGTTTTCTCGTATGCATTGTCACATTTGTGTTTGCGTGTGGCAGCGTGATAGAGATGCATTTTGGGTCAATATCTATAAAAATAAATTTAGTAATCAAAACGAAAGGATGAGGTACCGTACTTCACAACAGTGGGAGTTGGTAATGCCCATGGACCGCCTCCATGACTCCTTCTGAAAAGTATAGTAATGGTAGAGCTGTACAGTAGAATCTATTTATGTATTTAAATATGAGAGCTGACGGAAAGCTTAGAGCTGCTGGAGGCCACGAGATATGATACCTTTGGGTATATAGGTTATGGCATTAGGAGTACCACCTCCGAAATTAGCACCTGCCTTCTTGGATTAGGGTACAAAGTTTACCGAGAGGATTCCTCATAGGAAAATGGAGGAAGGTTTGATAGTAGATACATGATGTACATCATCAGGAAACCTCAAACAGCTAAGTAAATGTCCGAGGGAAACGTGGTTAAAAAGAGTCTAGCAGCCTCAAAATGACTGTCTAAGTATCAAATGCTAGCTGAACGCATACAAATGTAGTTGAACGCATGCTCGCAAGTATTCCTCACAGAATTCTCTTGGCCCCAAACTTGGTCATTTTATTACAAGTTACCTGAGGTCGGTTTATGGGAATACTTCGATTCGTCGACCGATGTCATACTGCCTGATGGAAAGTACAGTTTTGATGGCCCTTCTGATTCCATTTTGGATGAATGGAAAGAAAATTATGCGTAAAGGCTATTCCATCTGTGGAAGTATTAGTTCGATTCCAAGCAATGGTGTTTGATAGAAGAATCTTGAATAAATTTTCGGATTTTCCCTAGTCATTGCTTTGGACAAGTATTTTTTTCCCCTGGGATTTGGTCGTCCAGGAGCAACCTCTAGATTCTATCCGAAATCCAATCTACTTATGCACAATTATAGGCACGGTAGTGGACAATCAGGACGGAATGCGCTTTGCACGTGAGTCGAAGTTCTGTTCGACACTGATAAACAATAATTGGTTGCGTCGTGACAGAACTTGGAAGAAAAATTGCTTCAACGCGATGAGCACTCCGTTCGCTGATGTGGATGCATCAAAATACGCCCAAGAGTAGCCAAGCTGCGGAGCTGAGTTCCATATGCTCCTTCTCTTCCTTCTACAATCACCATCATCCATCCGCAATGAGGTTTGGATGTCCTTTTCTGGTCAGTACCTTATTGTTGTTCTCGGATATTTACTGATAGTTTGTAATGTTATAATGCCGTCACCCTATCGGACAAGGATAAAGCACGGTGACTTGGACTGTCTCTTCTTTTTCCATTTTCTAGGGTCCCTCTCATCCTGAAATGCGTCCTTTTTTCTGGTGAGTCGAAACATATCTTTGGATTTTATATTGCTGTCAGTTTTCTAGTATAATCAGCAGCCCAACATTGATACCATGCAGTCTGACTTTTGGGTCGCCGGTTCTCCTTACTGGCAAAGGACACATCATATGCACAGTCACAGTCATGTGCCATTATCATGGCCCCTTTTCTTTCATCAGTCCATCGGGTCCATGGTTTCCAAATAAGAGATGATATATAGGTTGAACTAATCTCATATCACTGTTCTCTTGATTGTTTTTGGGCTCTTACACTAATATACCAGCTATGTAAAATGGCATTTATGATGTTCTCTGACTATGGTGATGGCATAAATCTCTCAGTAAAAGTATCCATCTGAGCAATGAATCTTTGTCTTTTCTAAAATGTCTTACAAAATAATGACTGACTCTCACTCAAGTTAGGTGAGTCTCAGAAAAACTTAGTGAGCAGTCCCGTCTGTCGCTTTAGTTCATTGCCTCATCCAGAGACACACAATTCTCTAACTGGACTCGAGCTCATATCTTGGAATTTAATGATTTTTCTTCCACTCGTAAAATCCATCTATTCATCAATGTTTTCTTCCTTCATGAGACAGTGCACCTGCTCTGTATGAGTGGCATACCATCCTCTATTGTGGTTCAAATCTGCAAGATGACAGTCCTGTTTCCCTGCCCTTTTACCTATCTTCACCCAATATGTCATTCATCACCACTTCACCTTCAACCACTGATGCTGGTAATTGCTTTGCTGGGTCAGCATTTTCAGGTATGGTTCCACATCTTTTCTTTGACAGCATGTGGTAAGACTAGGTACTTTGAGTACAGATTGTTGGTATAAAAGGTAATAGCAACAGCCTGCATTTCCAGTAGCCTTTACCATTTTGGATTCATGTTCAAATCAAAGATTTGTGTTGAAATATTTGTTTCACCCATGCTCAGAGTAGCATTCATTTCACCAAGCAGATCTATTTCTGTGTTGGAATAGTGGCATCCTAAACAAAGAGTTCACACAGGTCCTCCTGGAATGTATGAAAATAATATCCCTCCAACAAGAGGTATTGGAGGCCACTGCTATAGGGAATTGACCTGACATTGGAGTTTGAAATAGGAAGTAACCTTGATCTCTGTGGTGATTACTGGAACTTATCCTATCTTGAACAAAAAGAAGTACCATATCCAGCTGCAATAACACAAGATGGAGTCCAGCTATAAGTCACCCTGCTATGAGTAGATTAATGTGTTATAAAAAGAGTTTATTACAAGGTCTTCACATATAGATCAAGGCCAAAGCATCAGCCTCATTTTTGAGAGGATTATTCTGCAGTTGAGAAAGGAGGTCAAGGAAGAGGTCTAAACCTCCCCTCTTGTAAATCTGGGTTTCATGAAAGATCAAAAATACTTTTCATTCTATTAGCTTTTCTTATGGAGTTGACATTTGCAGTGTAGCCTTTCATCACTAAAATTTTCTCATGTCCAATCATCAACAAAACATTGGACAAGCTTCTCAGCATCCTGTGACCTCATAGTTCTCTCTTGACACTCTCTGACATGCCCCCAATCCTTGATATCCCCTTGTAGGTCTCTCTGAAGGTGATGACATGAAGCTCTCAAGAGATATATGACAACACTATGTGGCCAGTGCTGTTTCACAGATACCTTCAGATATTGACACCCACAGACATCCAGATGATCTCACAGGAGCACTCAGATGCTTGGACATTGCAAAATAAGCTGGAACAGACAGGATAGAGATCATTCAAAGCATAGTGTCTGTCAATCTTCTGCACCATCATGTAGTCAATTTTATTCATGGAGATTTGGATAGGGATGTTTATATACCAAAGATAAAGTCAGATAGTAAAACACCTGAAGCTCTACTCTGCATCTTCTTTTCATTTTGTTGGTGGCATGTGACTAATACTGTATTCCACAGAAAGCAGACTAGTTTCTAGATGAAACAGGTGGGCCCATTGAAGAGGTTGTTCTATGCATAAGCTAGAAAGTGATACAGTAAAGTAGTATTCACTGATCACACCCACACCAACACACACACAACACTCTTAGTTCATTGGGGTATTATAATGTGATAAGAGTAGTGTTAAGTCCAAATGACATATGACCTGAACACATGATAAACTGATACTGTCTCACACTTTGGGCAATGATGTCAGAGTCCACTTGATTGTGTTATGTGGTTTTGTATTGTAAGGCCTTTAGATTGGCTTGAGATAAGATGGTGGAAGATAAAACTTTAGCTCGAAGCTGGGAATACTACAGTGAGAGCTATGCTACTTATATACTAGTTGTCATCCATTCTATAGATATAACTACCTAATTGTGCATCCTGACATTATAAAGCATTTTGTCCAGTGTCATTAAGCTATCTACAAAAGGGTATTATCCATCATTGAGCAGTTACTGTCACATTGAAGGACAATGACTGACTGGGCTTGTTGTGCTGAGTAAGCCTGGTCCCATGGTCCTAAGTGCTGGTTAAGTGCTCTGACTAAGCAAAGATAGGGGTTAATCCCTTGAATAAAAGATAAAAAGAAGGAAAAATCATAACAAGTAGTAATAGCAAATATAATTGTCTCTTCAATGATCCACTGTGTGCAAATAGCAATAGCATGCATACAATAGTCTGAGATCTCTCTAAGTCTCAAAGCTTTTGTCTAAACAAGAGAGATAATGAGTGTCATTGGATCTTAAGGTAAAAATACTGTATCTTAATACAATACTTCAAAACACTCCCATAACTCTCAATAACTCTCAAGCACTGCTCAGATCAACTCAAAATCTCTAACATACAACATGACTTAAAGCTTCACACCCTAAGCAGAAACCTTTCACAATTCCATCCACAAGTACAAAAGGGTTCAAACCTCTGTGAACAAGTTTCCAAACTGATGATAGACCCACAGGATTCAAACCTATGTAATCCAGAGATACAAAAACATACAAAAAACCCTGTCCACAGATCCAAAGGGTTTGAATCTCTGCCACCTGTAGTGCCTTGCATCACAAATACCTCAAAAACTCAGAAGAGTGCCCTTCAGATACTGCTCTCTTATTCTCAGGCTAGAGTGCAATTCAAAACCCCTTATTAAAATGGACTAGAGTCTTGTAGAGCTTTCAATGCCTCACACAGTTCTTAGATCTCTCTTAATAATCTCAATAAATGGT